TCAGTGATGAATCCACTGAAAGATAAATTAGGAAAACTATCCCATTCATAATGCCTCAAAGAAAATAAATTATTTGGACATCAATCCAACAAAAGAGGTGAAAGACCATTTGGTCTTTAATTTCTTTCTTTAGTGTTCTGTAATTTTAAGACCACCTTAGAAGATGGAAAGATCTCCCATGTTCTTGGACAGGGAGAATTAATAATGTCAAAATGGCAATACTACCAAAAGTGCTATAGAGATTTAATGCAAATTCCTATTAAGGTTCTAATGATGTTCTTCATAGAAATAGAAAAAGCAATCATGAAATTCATTTGGAAAAATAAGAGGCCCAGAATAGCCAAAGTAATCCTCAGAGAGAAAAGTGAAGCGGGAAGCATCACAATACCAGACTTCAAATTATACTACAGAGCTATAGTTTAAAACAAACAAACAAACAAACAAAACCTGGCATGGGCCGGGTTTAGTGCTGTATACCTGTAATCCCAGTGACTCTGGAGGCCTCTGAAGCAGGAGGATCACAAGTTCATAGCCAGGCTCAGCAAAAGCAAGGGCTGAGCAACTCGGTGAGACCTCTGTCTCTAAATAAAATACAAAATAGGGCTGGGGATATGGCTCAGAGGGTGAGTGCCCCTGAGTTCAATCCCCAGTGCCTGCCTGGCCCCCAAAAGCATGGTTTTGGCACCATAATAGACATGAAGATCAGTGGTTCAGAATAGAGGACACAGAGACAAACTCATATGAATAGTTATCTCATACTAGACAAAGGCACGATAAACATGCTTTGGAGAAAAGAGCCTCTTCAACAAATGGTGCTGGGAAAACTGGAAATCCATATGTAATAAAATGAAATTAAACCCCTATTTCTCACTCTGCACAAAATTCAACTCAAAGTGGATCAAGGACCTAGGCATTAGACCAGAGACCCTGCACCTAATAGAAGAAAAAGTAGGGCCAACTCTCCATCATGTTACCTTAGGAACCGACTCCCTCAACAATACTTACTCCTAAAGCAAAAGAAGTAAAATCAAGAATAAATGGTATCGTACCAAGCTTCTTTTTAGCAAAGGAAACAATCAACATGAAGAGAGAGCCTACAAAATGGAAGAGAATCTTTGAGACCTACACCTCAGATACAACATTCATCTCCAGGATATATAAAGAACTCAAACACTTAATACCAAAGAAAACAAATAACCCAGTCAATAAATGGGCAAAGGAACTGAACAGACAATTTATAGAAGAAGAAATACGAATGGTCCACAAACATGAAAAAAAAAAGGTCCAACATCATTAGCAATTAGAGAAATGCAAATTAAAAACTACACTGAAATATCATCTCACTCTACAAGTAACAATAAATGTTGGCAAGGATGTGGGGGAAAGTACATTCATACATTGCTGGTGGGACTGTAAACTGGTACAGCTACTCTGAAAAGCAGTATGGAGATTCCTCAGAAAACTTGGAGTAGAACCACCATTTCAGTTATCCCTCTCCTCAGCATATACCCAAAGGACTTAAGATCAGCATATTTAGTGACACAGCCACATCAATGTTCAAATAGCTCAATTCACAACAGCAAAGCTATGGAACCAACTTAGGTGCCCCCCCATAGATGAATGTGTTATATATACACAGTGGAATGTTACTCAGCCATAAAGAAGAATGAAATTATTGCCCTGGAGACTATCATGCTAAGTGAAATAAGCCAATCCCAAAGAATCAAAAGCTGAATTTCTCTTTTTTATGCAGATGCTAACTAAAAATAAGAGGGTGGGCTAGGGAAGAATAGAGGTACTCGATTAGATAGAGGGGAGTAAAGGGAGGAGAGGGGTATGGGGGTAGGTAGAATGAATCGGACATTATTACCTTATGCACATATATAATTACATGACCAGTGTAACTCTACATCAGGTACAACCAGAAGAATGGGAAGTTATACTTCATGTATTATGATGTGTCAAAATAAGTCTAGTTATACAGGCATGTATAACTAAAATGAATGAATGAATGAACAAATAAATAAAAGAGACAAGGAGGACATTACATCTTAGCAAAGGGAACAGTCCAACAAGAAGATAAAACCATAGTAAATTCAAAGAATTCAGTAAAGTAGCAGGATATAAAATTAACCACCCATAAATCAATTGTGTTCCTATACATGTTGATGCACCCAATTACTCCACCAGATTTCTAGAGCTTAGAAATGAATTTAGCAAAGTAGGACATAAGATCAACACCCATAAATCAATAACCTTCCTATACTCCAAGAGTGATTCAGTCAAGGAAGAAATCAGGAAAACCATTCCATTCACAGTAAACTGCCCCCCCCCAAAAAAAGAAAACACTTGGAAATTAACCATGGAGGTAAAAGAGCTCTACAGTGAAAATCATAGAACACTGAAGAAACTGAAGCCCTTAGAAGATGGAAAAACAATCCATGTTCTTGAACAGGCAGAATTAATACTGTCAAAATGGCCATATACAAAAGCAATATACAGATTCAATGCAATCCCCATCGAAATACCAATGACATTCTTCACAGAAATATCAAAAAAACAATTATTAAATTCATTTGGAAGAATAAGAGAACCAGAATAGCCAAAGCAGGAGGCTTCCCAACACCTGATATAAAACTACACTCCAGAGCTGTGGTAACAAAACATAGCACTGTCATCAAAATAGACATGATGACCAGTGGAACAGAATAGAAGACAGGAAGAAACCTAGAGCCATCTGATATCCAGCAAAGGTGCCAAAAATAATATCTTGGAGAAAAGATGGCCTTTTTAACAAATGGTGCTCTGCTAGGAAAACTGGCTGGCTATATGTAGAAAAATGAAATCAGACCCCCATCTTTTACCCTGTAGCAAGCTCAAATTGAAATAGACCAAAGATTTAGAAATTAGGTCTGAAAACTTACAACTGCTAGAAGAAAACATAGAGCCAACATTCATCCATATAGGTGCTGGCACAGAAATTCCTTAACAAGACCCCCAAAGCACAAGAAATAAAATCAACAATCAATACGTGAGATGCCATTAAACTAAACGCTTCTGCACTGCTAAGGAAACAGGAGATTAGGAGAGCCTACAGAATGGGAGGAGATCTTGGCTAGCTCCTCCTCCAATTGGGGATTAATATACAGAACATACAAAGAACTCTACAAAAAATTAATAACCCAACTAACAAGTAGGCAAAAGAACCAAAAAGAAACTTCTCAATAGAAGAAACGCAAAAGGCCATAAATACATGAAACAGTGTTCAACATTTCTAGCAGTCAGGGAAATGCAACTCAAAACTACATTAAGATTCTCTCTCGCTCCAGTTGGAATGGCAATGATCAAGAACACAAACAACAATGCTGGCGAGGTTGTGGGGAGAGGAACACGTGTACATTGTACTAGTTTGCAGTCCTACCAACAACCACTTTGGAAAGCAGTTTGGAGAATCCTCAAAAAACTAGGGATGGAACCATCGTGTGATCCAGCTATCCCCACTCCAATCAGCATACTACAGTGACACAGCCACATCAGTGTTTAGCTAAATTATGGAATCAACCCAGATATAGGTGAATAGATTAAGAAATTGTGATATACATATGTGTGTATACATGTATATATATGTGTGTACACACACACACACAGGAGTTCTACTCAGCCATTAAAAAGAATGATATTATTGGGGCTGGGGATGTGGCTCAAGCGGTAGTGTGCTCGTCTGGCATGCGTGCGGCCTGGGTTCGATCCTCAGCACCACATACAAACAAAGATGTTGTGTCCACTGAAAACTAAAAAATAAATATTAAAAAATTCTCTCTCTCTCTCTCAAAAAAAAGAGAAGGATATTATGGCATTTTCAGTAAATGGATAAAAATGGAGACTATTACTCTAAGTGAAATTAACCAAACTCAGAAACTCAAAGGTTGAAAGTTCTCTCTCATATGCGGAATCGAGAATAAAATAAGGGAGAGGAGCAGATAAGGGCAAGATTTCATAAAGAACCTAATTCAAATACAAATTCACAGATGAGTGAAAGGAAGTCTATCTAGTAGAGAAGAAGGGGAGGGGGGAGGACGGGGGGAAAGGCAGCTGAAATCAACTTGAGTGCCCGAGTTTGTCGCAATGAACCCAATACTACTATGTACAACCATAAAGATCTATTTTTTTTTTAAAAAAAGTTATGGTAACAAAAAAATAAAAGCAGCACTAGACAGTAACTCAAAGCTGTAAGAAAAAAATAACAATCTGCAGTATATAGATGGGCAATTATAAATGCTAGTACTATAATTTTGATTTTTTATTTATACATGATTTACAAAACAAATGCATTAACAAGTGCTAACATGTTACTGGTGATGCAGTGCATTATAAAGTAATTAGTGACATCAGTTAGCAGTAAGGGGAGATGCTAGGAGCATAGGTTTTGTGTGTTATTGAAGTTAAATTGGTATAATTCAGATTTGAGTGCGTCATGTTAGCATGCTAGGTGTAATATCATCTCCATGTCACTATACAAAATGAACTAGATCAAAAAAATGATGGAGAGAAACAACCCGTACCCATCTCCAGTTGCCCCTACCCGTAATTACTGAAGTAGATTAAACTTTTCCAGTCAAGAGACTGGAGATAGCAGATGGGAAACTCAAGGCCTTCATTCCCCCTATGGAAACGCCTTCCTAGGAGCTCTGGAAAGTCAAGGCCTGCCACAGGGAGGTGAGCACCCCAGCCAGAGTCAAAACGGAAACTTTGTAGCATTTTTTTTTCCTTTTCCTTCCTTAGTCATTTATTTGTAAAATATTAATCTTTGACAATAAAAACAGAAGAGCAACGAACAAGGWGTGGGTTTGCATAGTGGGTGGGAAGCCACAGGCCAAAGCAGACCTGAAGTTCCTGTTACTTGGTAGGATGTTCTGTGGTAGTCCAGAGTCTATAATGGGATTAAACTCATCTTTCTTCTCCTCTCAAACAGCTCAGATGGGAGGCTGAACGTGATGATCTTAATTTTTGCTATTCAACCATTTCTCTTGATCTTGCCTTCTGATTTCATACATTCCAGACTGTTCGATGGCTTTATAGTAAACTTCCAAGATGAAGGGAAATTTCTTGCTCATTGTTTGCCTGAAATCTTGACTTGTATTCATTTTATTAAACAAAAAATAAGCTCCAAAAATGCCCATCAATTCAGCTACTAAAATTCCTTTAAACATCTTCTTTGCTATTGATTCCATTTTGTGGGCCATCCTGAAGTGCACGAACCCAAGCCTTTGTAGCATTTTTATTGACCCAATTCCTAGCTTCCTCTCTTGCATCACAAGGAAGGAAGGGAACAGAACTTACTTGCAATGTCTCAGCTTCTCTGTGGGCTTCCCAAGGGGCTGGTTTCTGTTTCCTGACTTACTTTAGCCAGGAAACATGGCATGGTTCAGATTGCAGGCTGGCAATGCCTCGGAGGACAGTGGCAGGCGCCACCACCTAAGAGCTGCCAGGGGGCTACAGAGCTTGGGTACTTGGGACAGGAGACTGGGCAAAGGACCTCAAGAAGTGCAGGTGAGAAATTAAGATGTTTAAAAGCAGCTATGGATATGGGTACCAGCGAAAGAGGGTGCTGACACAGAGGCCCAAAGCAGAGCATGTGTCCAGAAAGGACCCTAGACTAGGCCATCACCTTGGCGATAGCACCTGTCAGAACACCCCCTGCTAATGAGTGAAGGTTTCCACACCTCTCTTCAGACTTAAGACATGGCTGTTTTTTCAGGTGCCTCATTTTCCAAACACTAGATCTCAAGGAATCCCAAGAAATGGGAAAAACATGGCTCATTCAAAGGGACAAAATTTATCTCCAGAAATATTCCTGAGAAAAACAAAACCATCAGACTTTTTGGAAAAAGACTTAAATGATCTTAAATATGCTCAGAGAGGTAAAGGAGACCACAAAGAACTACAGAATCAGGACACTGATGTATGAAAAAATTTCAACAAAGAAACAGCAATTCTTAATCAGAAATAAGCAAATTCAGGAGCTAAAAAAATACAGTAACAATTCAAAAGTTCAATACAGTGGTTGAAAAGCAGGTTTATATATGTAAAAGAATCAGTAAACTTTGAGAATTTCATTTGAAATCATGAGATTGAAGGAGCAAAAAATAAAAAGAGAAGAAAAGTAAAAGAGCCCAAGGTGCCATCCAAAAAGACCAATTTGGCATTATGGAAATTCCAGAAAGAGAACAGAGAGGAAGGAGCAGAGTGCTCACTTGAAGAAATAATGGGTGAAAACTCCCCAAATTTGACAAAAGCAATGGACATACAAAAGAAGCTCAATGAATTCCAAGGCAAACCCAAAGGGACCTAGAGCAAACCCTGAAGAATTAAAGTGTGAAATAATAGAGCTGTACAACAGTAGGAGGCTTCTTACCCACTTCCAATGATGACTGAAACAACTAGACAGATACAGTCAGTATAGAAATGCGGGTCTTGAGCACCTCCACAGACCCACTGGATTAACATACACAACACCCCACCAACAGCAGCAAAATACACCACCTTCTCTAGTATACAATGGAAGGTTCTCCATAAAAGACCATAAGACAACTCTCACTGAGTTTTAGAAGACTGAGATCATATGAAGTATTCAATTCCGATGACAAGGGAATAAATCTAGAAATAATTAAGAAGGAAACTGGGAAATGCAGAAATATATAAAAATAAAACAAAGAGCCAAAGAAGAAATCACCTGAAGACAATTGAAAACGAAGACAGAACCCACCAGAATGCACGGGTGCAGTGATGGCAGTGGGGAGAAAGCAACTGCGCTGAAATGTGTATATCAGCAAAGCAGAAAGGTCTCAAGTGAGGAGACTCCTTTATACCTCAAAAAAAAACAGGAAAAAACTAGACCCAAAGCTAGCAGAGTGCGGGTGGGTGTGAGCAGGAAAGTAGAAAACTGATGAGAGCCAAGGCCGGTCAGAATGACGCCTGGCATTTGCCAGAGGGATGTTTGAAAGGTGACCAGTGAACCATTGAGATGATTTGAGTTAAGCTATATATAATTGCTGTGATGCTGGATTGATTGTATTGTATATTTGACCTTTACTGTTGGGCAATGGAGTGGCTCTTGCTGCCTGGGCGCCCACTACTTTGGAGTTCTCGCGCTACTGGAGAGTTCCCATTGGTTGGGAAAGTGCTGGAGGCGGGATTTCCGGTGTGGAGGGTTTCTGGAAGGAAAAGCTTGTGTGCAGTGCTGGTGAGAGTTGAAATAAAGTAGTTGCTGTTTGAACCTACAAGGCTATGTGGCGGCTCGGTTATTCGTGCCCAGCCAGACTGCGGCAGTCCGCGGAGTCCAGAGTAATTCTTTGAAAAGATCAACAAGATTGGAAAAGCTTTAGCTTGATGACGAAGATAAGAAACAAATCAGTTAAAATTAAAAAAAGACATTATTTCCAATTTTACAGAAACAAAGCTGAGGGTACTGTGAACCAACTACATGCCAACAAATGGCTCACCTAGACCAAGACGGCATCAGACAAAACCTGATGGAAAAGGAGTGGTGGGAGATTTTTTATTACTGACCCAAAGAAAAGCCCAGGACCAGATAGCTTCACTGGGGAATTCTATCAAACATTAAAGAGTTGACACTAATTCTCAAACCTTTCCAAAGAACTGAGGAGGAGAGAATGCCTCCCAAATTATTTCATGAAGCCAGCATGACTCTGACCCCAGAGCCAAAGACAAGAAGAAAGTACAGACCAATATCCCTATGAAGAGAGATGGAAGAATTCTCAACACTGTGTTAACAAAGGGAGCCCAAAAGCATATTAAAAAGAATTACTTACGACGACCTGGTGGAATTTACCTAGGAATGGAAGGGTGGCTCCGTATAAGAAAATCAATTGCTGTCACACATTATCTAAAAGGACAGGGGAAATGAAATGTGCCTTAATCGATGCAGGCATTCAACAGTGAGCAAGATGAAGGCGCCCCTCCCAACACCACTCCTCCACATTGCCCTGGAAAGTGTGAGCAGGTCTGTTAAGTAAGAGAAGGAAGTCAAGGCATCCAAGTCAGAAGGACCAGTTTATGAGTGACAAGATCCTTTACAAAGAAAACCCCAAGGAATCCATAAGAAGCCAGTAGAACTAATAGATTCAGCAAGTTACAGGATTGGCCAGCGCAGAACACACCAGTGTTTCCATAAATCATCAGTGAATGCTCCAAACAAGATTATAATCGCATCTAGAAGAATTCCTAGGAGTACAGGTAACCAAGCAGGCGAGAACCTTGCCACTTGTGCTGAAAACAGTAAAACATCATGGAAAGAAAATGAATCCTAAGCAAATGGAAAAACCCCTCATGCTCATGGGTTAGAGGACTTAACCTGGTGAAGATGATCCACGGCATCAATGCCATCCTATCACAATTCCAACAGTCTTTTTCATACAAAATCCAATTCTTGAATTCATATAGAATTTCAAGGGGCCCAAATAGCTAAAAGGATCTTGAAAATTACTAACTTGGAAGCCTCACACTTTTTGACTTTGAAAAGTACTGCAGAGCTATAGTAATTAAAACAGTATGTAGTAGTGGCATAGAGAAAGACATAACAGACCAATGCCACAAAATTGACCGTGGACACCCAGATCCATTTCTGGTCTATCAGTTTTCAAGGTACTACCCTGATCACTAGCTGAGGAAAGGGAGTCTGAAACTTTCAGTGTATGGTACAAGGAAAACTAGACATCCACATGCAAAACCATGAAGTTGAATCCTTACCTGGCCCCATATACAAAAATTTAAATGAATCAAAGACCTAAGCTTAAGCACAAACTATAAAACTTAGAAGAAAACTCTGAGAAAAATCTTCAACCACTGGTTAAAACTCCAGTTTTCCTGGGGGAGGCCGACTAATAAATACATTGGTTGGTCCTGCCTTTTGGCTGTTTTGAATAAAGCTTTTCATGAACACATCTCTATTGGAATCCTTGCTGTCAGTTCTTTTGCAGGTATACCTGGGAGTGGAACTGCTGTGTCACATGCTGATGCCACACTGGATTTGGCAGTAATTTCTTAGGTCTGACACCAGAATCACATGCAAACAAATTAAATGGGTTAACTGAAATTAAGAACTTTCATGCATCAAAGGACAATATGGAAAGAGTGAAAAGGCCACTTCTGGAATGAGAGAAAATATTTGCAAATCATAATCAGCAGTTAATATCCAGAATATGTAAAGAGTTCTGACAACCCAACAACCAAAATGACCTGATTCAACAATGGGCAAAGGCTAAACAAGGGGCAAAAACTTGAGAAGACATTTCTCCAAAGAAAATATACAAATTGTCAATAAGTAATGACAACATGTTCCACATCACTAGGGAAATGCCAATCAACCACAGCAAGCTAGTACCTCACACCTGCCGGGATAGCCATTGGCAAAAGAAAGACTAAAAGGAGGTAAGTACTGGCAAGGCCAGGAGTGGCTGCAGCTGCTGTGGAATGCAGGGCCACTGCAGCGGATGCTTGCAGAAGGACGGAAAGCAGGCTCCCAACAGGTATGTGTTCACAAAAGCCTATTCGAAATGGCCAAAAGGCAGGACCAGAGTACACACCAGCACCCTCCAGGGAAACAGGAGGATTCTAACCAGTGTTGAAGTGACATAGTGACACAGTCTCATATCCATTTTAACACAATAAAGAAATGTGGAAAAGAAAAAACAAATACGACCAGTGTGGGTGGTCAGCAGCTGCCAACTGCCCTCGAGCCCAGTAGGAGCTCACAGAACCCCCTCGGCCCATTACATTAGTTTGTCCTAAGTTGTGTCCTTACCGCTGTTTCCAGCCATTGACCTCCTTCCTCGTGAGGCTGTAAGGAAATTGGAATTTCATTTCCACATCAAAATAGCAGACACCAGAACTGTAAAGTCGTGAGTTTATTGCATATGTAACAAAATGAACCTCCCGGGGCCAGCCTGCTGTGTGATCGCTGTTTGCTTCCAGCTGGTTCCATACCCACATTAAATAGAACTAGTATTTCTTTTAAATACTTTTGATTTTGACATAAAACAGAACATTAGTGTACAACTTTCACAAAATAAATCAGCAATAAAAACAGTGGGAAGAGTAACAAGGATAGCAGCAATACTTAAAAACAAGACATTACAAAATAAATTAAAAAATACATTATAAAGTGGTTGAGAAACAAAAATAAACAAATTTTAAAAATCCATACTATGTTCGGGAAGGCTGCCGTGTGGCACACACCTGCTGCAGGTGGCTGGGTCGGGGCGTGTTCTCTGCAGAAGGCCATTCCTGACGTCTCAGAGTTGAGGCCACCTCACCTGAATTTGGCCCATTCAGCTGAGCCAGCTTAGGGGTCAAAATCGATCTAGTGGCAGATTATCCTTTCAGAAATCAAGAGGGCGCCCTGCTGTCGCCCTGTCGCCCCAGGCTGCCCACGGCTGCCCGCTCCCCTGCCCACAGCGCTGCAGAGTGGTGGTTCACTACATCCCTGAGTGTCGGCTGACGGCCGCTGGTGAGGGCGAGCCTGGAAAGTTGGGCCCCTGAAGCATCTGGGCAAGGAGGCGAGAGGCAAGGGGGGACAGGTGGGTCACCTGGGACCACCGGGAGGGATGACAGACGAGTCACACATACAAGGGCTTCACACAGACCCCAAGTGGGGCAACCAGGAGCTTGTCACACTGTCCTTTGGGGTGGTTCAGAGGATCAGGCCATGGTAGACAGTTCCGATTCTAGAAGGGCAAATGCCACCAACAGGCTTGGACAGAGCGGAGCTCTGGGAGGTCTGACGTGGCTGATGATAGCATCAAGGGCTGAGACAAACCCACACACACGTGCAAGTGGCAAAGCCAAACAGAAGCCCCAGGGGACAGGAACTCGGGCAGCTCCGGATGGTGGCCACAGGGACATCAACTTGAATGGCACAGGGCTGCAGTGTCTACGGATCACCCCTGCTCTTCCTAACAGCAAGAAGGTAGTTCGAAGGCCAAGTTCCTGCTGCATGTTCTCACACCACAGACCCTGCTTCCCTTTAGAGTGTCCCTTGAACTCTGCACATCTGTCCACCTCCCAGAATCTGGGCTCAGGTCACAGATCAGGTCTTTCTGGGGGGGGGGCCTGTTGTCTCACTTCCCTGTTCAGAGGGATACTGAAAGGGAAGACGGGATGGCGTCATCTTGGAACCAGTTTCTAAAATGCCCTCAAAAGCATTGGGGTGAATGAGACACAGGGTGAGCCCTATTGGGGCAAGGCAGAAAATTGAAAGAGACTAAGGCCACAAATTGGCCTGGACGTTTGCACGGATTCAACTTCCCTTCTGCAGAGAATCCCACCCGGTGTCCTTTCTGTCCCAGAACATCAGGAGGCCAAAGTGCGGCTGTGGAACTGGGAAAACCTCTTGGGATGGATGGGTCTGTGACCTAAGAAGTCCACATGTTCCCCACATGGAACCAGGCTGCTTCCAGGATGAGCAAAGGAATCAGGATGGGCTGTGGGGGGCTACACCTTCCTCCACACCCACCAGTCTAAGGGGAACAGAAACAGAACAGTGAGTGCCCACGAGCTCCAACCTGCTCCACCGCAGACCACAGCCGGAGCCCAGGGCTGAACTCACACTTCAACAGCAGTGAAATGTCTTGCTAATGAATTACCCTGTACTTGCCCCTGCCCCCCCACAAACCAGAGCAACAGCCACAGAGCCACATAGGAAAATGGGCTGCTGCTGCTGTCTTCCGCAGAAGCCGAGCCATCTGAAATGAGGCCACAGTGCTGAAATCAAACTCTGCTAGAACTTTTGTGCAAATAGGAAATGGTGTTGGAAGCCTCGAGTCTGGGCTGTCTTGGGCCTTGTTCATCACGTCGAGACACGTGGGCAGGAGAATCAAGTGCAATTGCTAGTGTCACCACGGCACGGAGGAAAAGGCCAACCAGTTTGCGTGGAGTTGCACCCACCTGCCGGAACAGGCACACACCCACGCCCTCCTCCCAGCACGGCACTAACTCCGAGGCCCTGGTCCAGCAAGGCCACCGTCCCCTCTCCATTTTCAGCTAGTCTGCACCGGGCCAGCAGCTCTGGTAACAGGATTCTTTTGTTAGTTTAGCTCTTAGCAATTACCACATGAAAGTCTGTTAACATTTCAGGAGACACAGTGACGCCTCTCCACGCACAACCAGGCACAGGACGGAGTCAGCTCCGAACCCAGTGGCTGGATCTGAGGCTGATTTTGGTCTGTTCTTTACTAAGCTCTGTTATGAGGGGTTTTCACCAGAAAGAATTTCAGACAGGATAGAGGATGCAGCAAAAGGGACTCTTGAAAGGAAAAACAGTTTTTTTCTCTGTGCAAAACAGACTTTTCAGCCAGGATACCCTGAATAAAACCCTGGGCCTCAGTGAAAACTGCGCGGATTCCTTTACTTTCAAAAGGAAAACACATAACGATTCAAGTTTCCTGCCATGACAGACTCCGTAGAAGCATACACTGTACAGTTATTTTTCAGGTAGGAAATGATCTGCTACGCAGAACAGGCCGCTGGGATGTGAAATTTGGGATCTGAGCTCTGGTTGGGTATCCGGCAACTGCTGAACTTGAAAGGGGCCTGGAGGCTGCGTGAGAGGGACAAGCTGGTAGCACTACCAGGCAGACCCTCCATGGACCCAGCCCAGCCCCCGGCTGGGGTCAGTGCTCTTGTAAAGAGCACAGGGCCATGAGCCTTTCGCCATGTCACCGAGGCACGGGCAAAACCTGGCTGTTTTATTGGATGGGTGATGGGGGGGAGGACGATAATAAAGGAGGGATATATGGTGAGAGCCACCTACGAAAGTCCCCTGCCCCCTCCCTCTGCCAACAAGAAGGAGGGGGACAAGCCTTTTCCCTCAGGTTGTCCAGGACTCCAGGCCTCAGCCAGCCTTGCAGGAGGCACACGGAAGCCATATGCTTTTGGTCTGGTGGTCATGAGCGAGACTCTGCTGCCTCGGGATGCTCTTCACTCCACGGCAAACCCACAGGTCTCCTCCACCGCGGTCAGCAGTTTCTCGTAGAGTTTTTCATAGGACTCATATGGTGGGATATCGATTCGGTTAAAGCTGGAAAAGGACAAAGGAGGCAGAGTCACTGCTGGGGCAGCGCAGCCCTGGGACCACCTGCAAGGTCAAGGATAGGCAGGAGACAAGGCGTAGGTATGTGGGAGGTGGCGGGGCGTGGGGGGCACTAGCAAGGTCTCCATCTCCCCTGGTGCTTTTCTGCTCCAATACAAAGATTTTCCAATGAACTCACAGCAAAATAAATCAAGACCTTCAAAACCAAAACATAACCAAATTATTACCTTATTGCTTATATTATGACAAAGCTCATAATTTGTTTTTTGTCTTTGGGAAGATATTATTTCTCCACACCATGAATTACCCCTTTGCTGACTCCTGTAACCTAGACTGGCCGTTAGTCATGTCATCCCTAACAATTTATCGAATGTCTATGTGTTCCTCTGGGATTTGCTCTGAGACCAAAACAAAGCAGTCTGGAAATTTCCCTGTAAAACAAACTATATTTTAAAGCTAGTAAAATGTGAAATCCCTGAAAGATGAGGTGAATATTAAACTTCTGACTCAATATTTCCATGGGAAATTAATTTCCAGTATTTATGCAAAGAAGAAGACATCCTTTAGGAAGCTATTGACGCAAAACAGAAACAGAACTGCCCCCCGGGGGACACAGTGGCTATGAGTCACTGGGACCGAGCAGCTAAAGCAGTTTTGTCAAGGAGTTGGGTTGAGTGGTATGGCCTCCTTTGTTCTAAAGTGTTAATATCAGAAGACATTTTTTATGTCTGTTTTATACCAGTGCTAAAATGTTAGAGGCCAGGAGCCCTGTGAGCCGGAGAGCAGCACCATGTGCCAACATGGCGCATTCCTGCCCAGATAGATGCTGCAGCCACGGTCAAGCAGGGCCTTCCTATCCCACAACAGTCTCAGGGAGAGCTACATTAGCCCATCCACAGGGGTGGAAAACCAGGTCAAGATATCAAGCAGTTTGCCTCATAGCCCATCTTTAAAAGGTATCATGGTCAGCATTTGAACCCATGCTACTGGGTTCCAAATCAGGAACATTCTAGCACATCATGTAACACTCTTGGACCGTTTGGAACTTGAAGGAGAGGTAAATGGTTCTGAGACAAAGTGTATGTGTGAAATGGACTTTTAAAACACAATGGAATGATCTACCAAGAATATTAATTTTTAAGCTTAAAATGTAGGGAGAAAACATTTTTCAATAGACAAGAGATACTGGTTACAGGCAAAGTTACAAGAAGGACAGTAGAGACCCAGAAATGTCAGGTGAAGTGAAGAGCAATAAATCCAAAGTAAAAACTGTTTCGCCTGTAATGCCAGCAGCTTGGGAGGCTGAGGCAGGAGGATTGTGAGTTCAAAGCCAGCCTCAGCAACTTATTGAGGCCCTAAGCAACTCAGTGAGACCCTGTCTCTAAATAAAGTATTACAAGGGCTGGGGGTGTGGCTCAGTGGTTAAGCATCCCTGGGTTCAATCCACAGAGCCAAAAAAAGAAAAAAAAGACACAGCAAAGAAGGCCACTCAAGCCTGAGAAGCAGAAGCCACCTACATGGCAAAATACCAGTGTCCACTAGTTACATGTCAGAATAGCCTTCAGATAGCCTTGCACAAGGCCCCCTCCAAAGTGCTATCCCACTGGACATAAGTGCTACTGCCAGCCCCACCTGAGCTCTGCAGAAATGAGTCACAGAGTCCTGTGAGTGACAGATGGCTGAGCACAAGGTGAAGGGCACAGCCTCTGGAGCCAGCTGCTGGGACACCCAGCTCCGTGGTGGGTTCTTACCAAGTGTGGGCCTTGGGCAAATTGTCCGTGTTTGCGTCGATCAGGTGGATGGTGAACAGCCGGGGCCCTGCCGCGCCTGTAGAACCTTACAGAACGACACTCTAGTTAATGCACTTCGCAGGCAAAGCCCTGGAGCTGCCCAGTGGCGGCTACCACACACATCAGCCCCAGTGCCCAGGCAGGCTGTCCTGCCGGAGGGTTGTGATGGTCACCCAGCAACGTAAGCCCCTGGCCAGTTTTAGGAGATGCCTGCAGTGGCCATTGAATGACAGAAAGAAGACATTTCAGAACAACCCAGGGACAGGACCCAGAGGCTCAGAATCCCCTGGTCATGAGCAGCTCCAAGGGTGTCTGGGCTGGGATCTGTCTGCACCCACCCTTTGCTAGTAGCAGACCTGCCAACCACTGGGCTCATCCATGCTTCAATCTTTTTAGACTCGGCCCCCAGTGACATCAAGCTGGCCAGCATTGGTCTCAGCTGCTGCTATAAATTCAGGCCAACTCAGGGATCCCAACCTGCAGAAGCTGAGGGCCCCAGGTGCTTGGATAGTCTTGAGCCCCCTTCACTCCTGCAGGGCCCCCTGCAGCCATCCTACAGGCAGACAACACTGTGGAGAAGACAAGTGCCTTATGCCCTGAGTTGAGGGACCCTGGACGACCCTCCTTTCACTCAAAGATTCTTAAAAGTCAGAGTGAAGATTCTGTAATTGCAACAAATCCAAATGCCTATCCACACTGAAGTTCAACTGCTAAGCTCGGTATGTTCACATCCTCCACCTGCTCCTTCCAGATCCGCCACATACCCTTCAAACCCTGGGTGTGAGATGACACACTGGGCCACATGCCCAAGGCCAACAGCCGGGGACCCTTCCTATGGAACTCCCTGGCCTGCATAGTGACCTCAGTGGCTTAGAGTGAGCATGACACCATCTTCCCTCAATGTGCCTTGTGGCTAAACAGGGGTCACTTACAGTCTCAAGTGTGGGGCCAGAGTCTGTGGGTGGCTCCCAGCAATGCTCTTCCTAGGTGCCCGCCTGGGGCCCTCTTGGCTTTTGACCATAGTGAGGCTGTGGGAACTGGGCCTTGCCAAGGCTCCATGGGTACCTACATGAGCCAACTGTGCACCTCCATGGCTCTGAATGTTGGCCACGGGGTTCTCTAGCAGGTGACATTTCAAAAGACACCTCATGGCAATGGCCCTGCCTCCCCGTCAGTCACCTTGCAGAGCCTTGAAGCCCTGGAGAGGGACTCGCGTGGAGCCAGTCACGAACTGCAGCAGCCTGGCCCTCCTCTCCTCATCGAAGGTCTCCACTGCCTGCCAGAACCAGCGGACGATATTGCTGTCGGCCACACAGTGCTTCAGCCGCGTGTTGGACTTCCAGTCGTTCAGGTCGATCTTATCCAGGCCTCCTATTATCAACTGGGAAAGCATTTTGAGGTGTCATTTCAAAAACGTATAAGCCTCAACCATGATATGCCTCCTCGGCTCTCAATACACAAAAGGAGTTAAAAACTTGATCTCCAAAGCCACCAGGCAACTCTGACCAAATGCACCAGACAGATGTCTGGACAGAAGAAAGCTGCACACGGACAGGCCTGACACGTGGAGCCACCTCCTGCTGGCTTCCAGCCTGAGGACAAAGGCACACAGCTGCCAGTGTGACCTGATTACAGCCCGGCTGGTGTTGTTGCTCTGGGGTGGGGAGGAGTGAGCAGCTAGAACATTCTGGAAACACGCCACGGAGCTAACTGTAAAACAAGGCCCCACTGTGGTGTCTCTCAAGAATGTGTGAGGAGACGCCACGATGTGGTCTGAAGGGATGGGAACTTGGCACGTGGCACGGGGTGAAGGGAGGAGCTGTCTCCTCACTTGCTGACCAAGCCCGCCACAGCACTCCTGTGCCACCCAAAGGCGCTCTTGCCTCACAAGCTCTCGGCTTCTCACAGGTGGCCGAAAGACAAAGGACAATCTGGAAGGCTTGGGCCCCTTGGCACCAGGCAGAGATGGATAAGGGATGAATGAATCTCTGTCAAGTCCACAAAGTGTGAGCAGAGAAGATGGTAACACTGTGCTCTTAGTCTGTGATCAGCCAGAATAAAAAGCGAGACACTGCTCCTGTGGGAAGATTGGCACAAAATAGGGGGCACACCAGAGGGGCTGCAGAGTCTCCATGCCAGAGATTCAGAAATCACATGCACCTTAAACGACTCCCCCAGAACCATTCAGGCTCACTGCTGCCAAGGGGACACCTCGCTGTCACCATCACAGAGGCCTCATTCACAGCTGGGCTCTCCAATAGATGACTACCTGGTGCCTGTGGACTGGGCAGCAGCATGGCACGCACATACCTCTAGTTCCTTCTGGTCAAAGGGCTTGAGTAAGTGCTGAGGGATGAGTTCGTTAAAGCCCTTCTGGAGCGCCAAGAACTGGGCCTCGATCCCTCTCATGAACCTCCAGTTCACGTACAACCTGGAAGAGGAGCCCACGTGTCAGGAGCAGCTGCAGGCGGGCCAAGAGAAGGCCCATGGCAGTCAGTGACAGGCTCAGGGGACAGTGAGGCGAGCTGGGACCATGCAGGCAGCCTGGCTCCCCACGGTGCCTTGCTCACCGTCAAAGACATTTGTAACTGCCATCATTGAGAAGTGCATTTGGCAGTAAAATCAGGGTCAGCGTGAGAAACCGGCAGCAATGTGATCACACAAGCCCCATGTTTCGGAACTTCCAAGCAAGTGACTGGTTCCTGTGTGGATCTGCCTTGAGGAAGAGGTGGGAGCCGGGCTGGAGTGGCCTCCCTTGAGGCTCCCCACGTGGAGCCCCTGGCCCACTGCTTTTCCCCTGGGCTCACCACCTTTGTACCCAGAGTTGGACAGTCACAGGGAAATCCTCCCGGGCTTGGGCTCTGTCCCTTTGACAGTCCAGCTCCAACCACATCAGGGTCCCTCCTAGTAGAATCCCCAGCTGAGAGCTCCTGAGAGTCGCCTCTGTTCATGTGACACTGGTCACGAGTGCTGTCAAGCACAGGTGAGCCTCAAGCATCAAGAAGCTATGTCACCCCTGACATGAACCCAGCTGTGCCCAGGACGGCTCCAGGCACCTGCCTCCCACCACCACCAAGGCTTGCCCTGGACATTACCGGACATATTCCTTCTTATTCTCCTCCGTGACCGGCACGTTTCTGCCATTGGGTTTCAATTCGTGCTGAAGAATCCGCCCGAAAGCGTTATGCTCCACGCAGAAGGTGTGGTCCAGCACGGGGGTGATGTCGTTCTCTCTGTCAAAAGGGGATACGAGGCCAGTGTCAGCGAGACCTTTGCCACCCTGCGGCAAAGAGGGGAGCACCGAAGACAGAGGTGGCAGAGGGGCAGCTGGTGGACACGCGGCCCTGTGGAGTCGTGGGGAACACTAGCATTGGAAAGAGCTGGAAGCCACAGCTCCAGTGCCAGGGTCCCCATCTTTCTGACTAAGAGGGTGGTGGCTTGCTCTATGATTTTATGAGACCTGTGTCCCAACTGCTTTGTAATGAGTCTGGGAGGACAAGGGAGAGATTGTGAAGAGGGGCCCAGTCTAAGGGAGGTCACCCAGGAAGCCACACAGGAATCCATTCTAGCAAAAAAAGCACTTGAAAATGCAAACTGGCTCTTTAATCCACCCGACTGCTTGACACACAGGCAGAGTGAGGGGTCCCCACATGATGCTCTCGACTCCCCCATGCCCCTTGTGAGGTGTAGCCTATGAAGACAGAAGGTGGCCAAGACTCAACGCCATTCCACACAGCAGCTCTCTTGCCATGCCAGGGCTTGGGTCTTTCATAGGGACCTGCCACGCCTACTGGTCACTTTGTTCCTGTGCCCACCACTCTAAAGCAGTGGGGACTAAGTGTTCATTTTGTTTTGATACTTTCTGAGGACCTCTGCATATTAACTGGAGACACTGTGGGGTCTCGGTCTCTTTTACACACACACACACACACACACACAAGGCAAGGAATGGCTATTGACATTTTTAATTAGACTTAGTAATTCAAGGGAACAATGAGAAACTAGCACATGAAGAGAAACTGACCAAGCCTCATAAGGAAAGTCAGTCAGTGTTCTTGTTAATCTGCTGTTATTTCTGGCTGTGTACAGAGACTTCTTTCCTTCTCTTCCTCAGTCCCATCCCCATCCCTGAAACACACGTGTGCATGCCCACACCCAGACACAGCAGCATACCCTCACAGAGACTAGGTATGAACTTCCAGTTAGCTCAGCAGTGAGCAGATACTTACAGAATCCACACCAAGCTCTTGTGCAGTTCTGGGTCCACTGACTCCAGGTCAGAGAGTTGGATGGGTTTCCCCAGAAGCTGCTTGTAGAAGGGAACTGTGAAACCCCCATTTATGTAGTGTCCATGGAACACAGCCAGACCCATGATCCGACCCACAAAGTGGAAATAAGACAGATGGTCCTGCAGGGGGCAGCAGAGAACACGAGTTTATTAGGAAGATGATCCGACAACATGGGCACCTCCTGCCTTCTCCAAACCTCTTGGGAGACTGTCCCACAGGCCCTGAGCATTGACTCCACTGCCCCCAGCTTATACTCGTGGCCAAATAGAATAAAGGCTGCTTGTCGCTGAAATTCAGAGCATGTCTTTCATACACATGAGCAGGACATTTATATGTTCAAGTCTAGCACCCGTCCTCAGAGCTGCTGTCTAATTGTGGGGCTGGTGCAAGAGGAACAGGCAAGACCCTTCTTCCGAAATTGAGAATGTCACCATGGTGACAGCAGAGAAGCAAGCCAAGTACAGTGGCCTTGTGCACCTACTGGCCCAGGAAGCCATCCTGCTCCCCCCCCCTTTCCTTGTATCTGCTCAAAAGAAAGGAAGAGCCAAGAGTGACTTTCCTCCCTCCCCCGCCACCCCTCCCCCCACAAAAAGCAAAGAAAAAAATCCTCAGAGGGTGGCGGGGGATGTGGACACGGAGGAAAATAAGTACAAATGGCCAAGAGAAAAAGGAATCTTTCCAAAACCAGAGCTGTGCTGGTTTTTAACTAGGCAACCTCACAATTCTACTTTCAGGCTTGAATTAAAATTATCTCAGAAAATTAGTCGACACTTCCATGCTGGTTAAAGGTTCTTTCACATCTGAATGCTCAAGTAGAACTGGAAGCCCCTGGCTTCCCCTCAGGGGCCTTGTGATAGTGCCCATGTAGCAAATACGGCCCATGGTCCAAGCTTGGATCTCTCCAACTCTAAGAGTGTCCTAAACCACTTCTCAGAACGTCACCTTCAACCAACATGGTCACCAAATCAGAGTTCCCTCAAATGGCAATAAAATGTTCTGCTATTAGAACAGCTGGGTTTCACTGTATTCTCCTCAAAAACAACACGCTGATGACCCCAGGCTAAAAACCCAGGATGGGAATCACCCTTTGTAACTCAGTCCTCACTCTATTTTTCCGTGTTTTATTTACTTTAGTCTTTAAGCCTATATCATGAGTAAACCATGGACAGAGATTGAAACTGAAAATACATCTTAAAAATCCTCCAGTGACACGCCCAACCTCTACTCACAGATACTTACAGGGTTGATTGAAGAATCTGGGTTGATTTGCAACATGTAAATATTGTCCGTCGAATACTGGAAGAGTCCATAATATGGATTCAACATTTCATGGCACAACAAATAAAGCCACTCCCTAGGAATGACAACAACACATCTCAAAGGTGCTACCATTTCTGGTTTCGGATCTTATCCTAAGGATTCATTCACTGTGCCCCAGGAAGCCCAGAGGGTAACATGAAGTGGGAAAGGACACTTGCTCTGAGGACGAGGCCAGGAGCCTAGTAAAGTTCATAGTACCCAGAAAAGCACCCAGGAGAGCGCCCCGAGGCAACCCATCATCACCAAGTGATCAAAACTCTGACACAGCTGCATCTGATCAGGTTAGAATTAGAGTCCCCGTAAGAGGATAGCATTCCCGGCAGTGCACTTGTCATCTTTCCTGCCTCTAAGCTAAAGTTCTCTCTAAAACTCTGCAAAGACCAAACTCTCAGGTGATGACATTCATGATATAATGTTAGCTGATAAAAATGCCATAAAAGTAGCATGACTCTACTTTATCAATAGTTCATCCCAGTATTAAGAATCAGGGTCATTTTCTTTTACTTATTTCTAGTTTTTAAATGTTCCACAGCAAAATGTTTCACAGAAGGGGAAAACATTTCAAAGTCTAGGGAAACAGGAGAGGAGTTGTTCAAGAATGACTTTTGCGGGGCACAGTGGTGCGCACCTATAATCCCAGCAGCTCCAGAGGCTGAGTCAAGAGTTCAAAGCCAACCTCAGCAATTTAGTGAGGCTCTAAGCAACTAAACAAGACTCTGTCTCCAAATAAAATATAAAAAAGGGGGCTGGGGATGTGGCTTAGTGGTTAAGCACGCCCGAGTTCAATCCCCAGTACAAAAAAAAAAAAAAAAAAAAAAATGATGTTTTCCCTTTGCAATTTTCTGTTCAATTCTTTTTCTTTTCTTTCTTCTTTTTATTTATTTATTTTTTAAATGACAAACATCTATCACTTTGGTTCCTTATAAAACTAGTTATATATTTTAAAATCTTTAAAATTTTAAGAGTTTTAAATCTGGATGGGATATATGAGTTAGATTCTTTGCTGAATTCCTTTAATGTTGGAATTATTTTATTGTTTAAAATAAAAACCAAAATCAAAACCAGTCAAACAAACAAAGCACTTTAGATAGAAGCTGTGTGATCCAATTGCTGTGGTTGGGTCACTCTGCACCCGGGAATGGGGGCTGGGGGGCACAGACACCATTGCAGGTCTGCAGCCAGTCCCAACCACTTATCCTTTTCTTCAAAACTCTCAGATAAGCCTCATTAAGACACCAGCCCCAATTTTATTCTGCCATTTCTTACTCTTCCAAACAGAAAAGACAAAAATGAGACAGAATAGGAAGGAATAAGCACAAATAAAAAAATCATCTGTGCAAGAAAATTGGGAAAAGATTAAAAAATGGTCAGACCAAAACATGGCAGAGGCATGAAGCTCTCCCACCCAGCTTCCCCCCCAGCCTGGCCAGTTGTGGGTTTATATTCACGTGCATAATTCTTTAACTAATGCGTGAGGGAGGAGTGCGCAAGTGCAGAGGAGGCCTGGTTTGCTCTGCTGCGTCTCTAGTACCCAGCACGAGGGAGGAGGCCAGTCTCTGCTGGCTGGCGAGCAGATACAGTTCCTACAGCGGCATACAAATCACGGGGAGCTCCCAGGAGAAGATGCAATCATGTGACGTATACTAGCTTCATTCTTTTGTTTTCTATTTGATCACCATGGAGTTCAATAGATGATTATGCTGTGGTGATTTTAAAAATCAAGACAAAATTTTTTGAAGCACTGGAAGACAAGTTAAAGAAATCTTCCAGAAAAGGGGGTGGGTGGGAGAAAGACACGGGAAAGAAAAAAGATGAGACACACAGAGGATCAGCCAATATCCAGATAACGGGCAATTCCGAAAGACTGAAGCAAGAAACTGGAGGAGAGAAACCTAAAGAGAGGTGCAGCCATTCCTGCAGCAGGCACTGATGGAGAGGCGAGTGCGCTAGCATCAGCAGCTGCTCTAGGAATGGGGGATGCAGGCTGACACCCCTTGCTGAGTGCAGGTCATGTCTGCTGGGAGCTGCAGGCAAGAGACATCACACAATGTGCCCTCAGGTGGTGGCAGTGATACAGGGACTGAGCTGAGGGAGGAAACCTCAAACCATGGCAGAAGAGTGGTGGTCATCCCAATGACTGGGCAGAAGGAGGCCTGGTGCATCACTGACAGACCGCACAGAGACCTCTGAGACAGACAAGGGCAGGGAAGAGAAGGGAAGGAGGATGTCAAAGGACACAACGTGTGACACTGTCCTGAGATGTTTTTCAGGCGGGGCAGGGGACTGGTCATTGAACACAGTGGTGTTCCATCACTGAGCCACACCCCCAATCCTTTTTATTTTTTATTTTGAGACAAGGTCTTACTAAATGCCTAGTCTGGCCTCAAACGTGTGATCCTCCTGTCTCAGCCTCTACTGGGATTACAGGCATGTGCCATTGTGCCCATCCCCTGAAGGATTTTTAAATTTAAAGGGGTAATAAAGACAAATAAAGCCTTAAAAAGCAGAAATTCTTTGAAAAATTAAAATCTGTTTAAGAAGATGAATTATAGAAGACTGTTTAACCCCTTGGTGAACAATAGTTACATTATCATAATATTAACAGAATTGATTTTAACCCTTATAATTACTATGCAGATAAGAACAAGAAACTAAATTTTTGATTAAAGAAAGAATGTAAATTTGAAATGGACGATAGAAATGTAACACACAGATGATGGAATTTAAGGGAGAGGGAAGGCTGAGGGAAGTGAAAATGAGAGGCCAAAAGAGTGTTTCTAAGTGATGATCCAAAAAACAAAGGTGTGAGCCCATTACATACAGTGCCCAGGACAGATCATGGCAGATTAGAAAGATCGATCGATGTTACTAAACTGGGAGGTGAGAGCACGCTATGAAGCCCTTGCCACCAAGGAAGGGACTGTGCCTCTGGGCACAGAGCATAACAGTCTGAACTTGGTCCACCAAGTGATACGAAGATGCCTGTTAGAAGAATCAGTTAAAAAAGCCAAGAGTGAAGCAGGTGTCTCCAAGGTGAGACAAGAGGTTGGTCAGGAAGTGGATTTTTGCTCTTTTATCCTGTTGTGTGTGTGTGTGTGTGTGTGTGTGTGTGTGTGTGTGTTTAATGATTTGCTTGAATTATTTTCACCCAAATTGTATTTTACAAAAGTCCTATGATACAAATGCAACGGACACGCCCCCCTGCTCAGATTCAGACACCTGAGCTGAAGAGGGCGAGTTTAATTCTAGCTCTACTGAAGTGACCTGTGCTCTGATGCCTTTCGAAGACAGCCAGCTGTGGCCAGCAGGGGAAGCCCCAGGGACCTGCCCAGGCACTGGGTAGTGGCATGCCACCCTCTCTGTAGCTAGGGCTGCAGTCACACCGACAGCCACTCACCGCGCCACTCCACCGTAGTCCAAGCCCTCCTCCCCACGGAACTTCACCATGAGTCGCTTCTTCAGGTCCTTGGGGCGCATCTTCATGATCTGACGATAGGACTCCTAGGTATCACCAATATGGCAGGTTGAGAAAGAAAGCCTCTGCTTTTTTTTTTTTAAATTTTTTATTTTTGGTTTACTATTTTTTTCTTTCTTGATTCTTAAAGGTACTAAAAGACCAGAGGTCATGGTTAACGGAGCAGCCACTGACCCCCGAGTCTCCTCTGGTTGCTACGGCAGGGCCCCGCCACTGTGTCTAGCATATTCCATGTTCTCTGCCACAGCTTCTCCCTCCAGAAACAGCAAACACACACAGTTCAGGGAACACCTAAATGCGTGGTCACCATAATCACTAATAATTTAAGGACAAATGTCCTCATTAGGGCTGATTTGTCTCTACATAAATTAATTTTAATGTGCCCTATAAAAATTTATGTATTTTAACCCAAATGAAGATGTCACTGAGTCTGGATGTTCCAAGAATTCTGGGCCTGTTTTAAGTGAAAAATCACACGTGATTTCCCAGAGTGAAAAAGGTAGAAAGGGTTTAAGTAAGGCAAAAAGCAGCTTGCCCCCAGCACAGACCCTGTGAGGTCACAGCGTCGTGGTCCCTCACACTCGGCTCGCAGACTGCAAGTGGCTAGCTATTGGCACCAACTCTTGGTGAAGGGGCACTTAGAATCTCTTCATGCCTTGAGTGCAGCGCTGTTCAAACTCTACCCATCCCAGGAGGCACAGGGGTGCCAGTGAGTAGCAGCTGGAAGCAGTGATTCAGGTCTTTCCCACTCCAGGCAATCACTGCCGGTGGCTTGGTGGACAGGAGGTCGCTGCAGTCCCCCAACTCTTCCAGCACCGCTGCACCAGTGTCCCGCCCACACCTGGCCTTCTCCTGCCATGCTCTCCCCCAGGGCAAGGTGCATGCCCCCCACAGTGGTGGGTCTCGCACTCCAGGGTCTCCCTCAGCTGCCAGAGCCCAGAGAGGAGCTATGTGCACTTCTTGAATGGTCTCATTTGGTCATTTTGGGCCACTGTCCCTACTGTTTTGAGAAATGACCCAAAGCCAGGTGAGCTTTGGCCTCATGATCCTCTTTCCTGAGAAAAGGGTCCTGTCTCTTTAGGGACTCTGATGATGCCCTTCCCAGGAACTGTCTGATCTTCCTGTGACCAGAGGAAATGACAGGGAGACCCCCGGCCACCAAGCTTCTCTGAGAAGGAAATGCTCTTAGATGGAGCCCCATACAAAGCAGCAGGGGTCAGAGCAGCTGGGTATGAGGAAAACAGACTGAGAGAATGTGATCTGCACAACACAGAGAGGCACCCCAAGGCAGCGGAGGGCTAGCTTCTGCACCTATTTCTAGGCTTTCACCCCAGAGGCCAGCTACCGAGCTTTTCAACTGTTAGCATCTGAGGAAATATAGTCCCTCTCTCCACGTAGGCCTTGGTCCTGAGAAGCCCTGAATTTCACCGAGCAACAGAATCGATACCTGAAATACTAACCAGAAAGCAGAGCTCACTCAAGAGGGAAAACCGTCCACAGGTCAGTTCACTTAAAACCAAGGAGCCCACATCACCTTGCTTATCCCCAGGGCTGACCATCTACACCTGATGAATTCTGTACCTCAAATATTTCTTCTCTAGAAACTTCAATGCGACAATGGCCAGCCTGGGGTTGCTGCAGTGACAGCTCGTGTCTGAGGACTTTGAGTTTCTGGACTAGGTCTCTTTCGTATCTCTGGGCAGGAAGCTCCTCATCCTCCACAGAGCCTTCACTGGGCAGCGGCAGTGGCTGGCTGGGCTCCTTTAGTTGGCACTGGTGACTGGAGGAGAAGAAAATGAGCCGAGTCACACCACAAGCAAAGGCCAGGAGCTGCAAGCAAGGCCCCCGCATGTGGCAGGGACCAAGAAGAACTTGTTACGCAACTTCAGGTAGAGTTCTTTTCTCTGGTGACATAACAAGGTACTAAGATGTGCAACAACTGCTGGTGGCCACCATCCACCTCAATATAGGTCTAGGGCACAATAAAGGAGATTCCCCAATTCCAAGCAATTGTTTATCTTGCACATTGTTGCTACAAATAGAAATAGAAATTGCTCTCGTTTATCTTGTTTCTACTACATAATGATGAGACAGCACACAGCTAGCGGCACCTCAGTAGTCAGAATGAAACCGAGTTGATGGGAATTTTTATTTAAAGGAGATAATCCCGGAGGGTGGCCACACATACAAGAGCAAACAACTCAGTGAAATCCAATGCTAAGCATCCCTTCTTTCAACTGCCTAGGGTTTCTGAAACCTGCTCGTTAAGGGCAAAGTATCAGTAAAATCAAAGCAGTAGGACCCATGGAGTGACAAAGTGGCATCTGCCTTGTTCAAGTTCTGCCACTAGTGTCAGCTGCCACTTAGGAGAGCAAAGTGTGATGTTTTGTCCTGAGGACATCACAAATCTGTAACACTGAATGTGGAACACAAGGTCAACCCCAAACTCATTTCTCTACTCCTCATTCTCTGGGCCAGGCCTGCCATTAAGCACCTCGTGCTGAAGCTTTGTTAACGAAGCTGCTGAGTATTGTCATCCTGGTGACTTTTATTCAGATTGCATATAGAAAAAGAGCAGCAACAAAATATGGCCTCAGTAGTGTCCACGCTAATTTAAGAATTTAAAATTATGCAGTTGTTCATCAAATATTTTACCCTATTTTGCTCATGGTTATTGTTCAACAAACAATGCAGTAAATAAATCAAGAAAAGTGTGAATGGAAGAAAACATTCAGTAGTAAATGAAGAGGTCAACAAAGTTTTTTAGAAAGTCTTACTTCATGATGTGGTGTAACCTTGGATCTGTAAACTGGGTTGTTCGGTTATTATGATCTACAAAATATATCCTCCCAGAAACTGTACTTCTGACTTCCCAACCTGGTGGCAGTGGTCCGAGTTCATCACAATTCACACTGTTAAGGTCTCTACCAAAATGGAAGAAACAGGGAGGTTTATCCAACTGAGTTCAGAGAAGGAAGACCAGGCCTACCCCAGGAACACCACTTCTTAAGAGAGACCAGCACAGTCAGGGGGACCTGAGAGCTGTCACAAAGCTACCGCATTCACAAGCTGAATCAAATGCTCCTAGTCAGAAAGGTTTCTTCACTGAAAGGCTCCCAGAGGGCTGGGGGGGCGGGGGGGGGGGGTTCAAGGTCAAGTACAATGTGCACTGGAAAACTCGAGATTCTGAGCAGCTGCATGGGACCAGTAGTTTTGCTTTCAAGCTGTTTTTGTTAAGCAAGTGGTCTCCCTTCTAGGCTCTTGATGAATCACCTCAATACAAGCCACAGAAGATGGGTGGCAGGGGGCACAGCATTTCTGATGGAGATGCTTTTGTAATTACCACAAAAGCCTATCATTTCCTACAGCGAGTACTGGAGAGAAACCTCATTCATTTGCAGGTAATATTTCCATTGTAATTACAGATACTGAATCATAAAATCAACATAGACTTGGAAAATCAAAGACAGGAAGCTTATTCTCAGGTGAAACAAATTATGCATAAAAAGGAAATAAACATTACCAAAAAATCTTATTAGGTAGTAATGCTATTTTAAAAAAGAAACTCAACTCTGTTGTGGAGCATGTTGGGGAAAGGAGCTCAGACCTAGGCTCAGCTGTATGGCCTGGTAGAAGGGATTCATACAGAAAAGCTTCATCTCCCCCAAATGGGCCCTCAGGGAATAAGCAAGAGGAATAATAAAGCAGAAGAGAAAAGGGGTAAGAGAGTCTTTATATTTCTTCTTCAACTTATTGTAGAACATTTTAAGCATATAAGAAAGTTGAGAGGGACCATAATGAAATCGCCAATGAGCCCACTTCAACAATCACCAACTCAAGTCAACCTCGTTTCGAATACATCCCATTCACTCCACACCCAACTTATTGAAGGAGATCTCATTTCACTCATCCCTATTTTTAGTTTAAACTGATAGGAACCCATCTGGAAGGAGACTGGCTATGCACGGAAACCGCTGGAAGACCAGCTTGGATGGTGTGCATTTTAGCAAACCTACCTGGGTATCCGGGGGTCATGCCATGTGCTAACTCCAGTCTGTGTGTGCAAAAAGTAAACTTGTCCTTGCACTGTCGTTCTCTGTTCTGCATAAGAAATTAGGGGTTAGAATTAGAAAAGTYCAACTCCACGGAGTGGTCACTCTGTCCTCTAGTCCGTTCACAGCAATTCTACACTTCCTTTCACCATTCTTTAACTTTACTGGGAAAGGACCTGAAAGGACACAGCCCTGTCTCAACATCTGGGCGGGTCTTACTCCTCTTGCTGAGCCATCAGCTGGAGGACCAGCCTTTATGCACATCTGCCACTTCTCTGCCACCTTGAGAATGACCTTTCACATTCATTTTTCTCTGTGTGCTGCACAGGACGAGGTGCTCTCGCTTTCAAGCTGGTTTTTGTTAAGCAAGTGGTTTAGGTTCTGGATAATCTCGCTTCTGGATAATCTGCCAAGCCTAAACTACATCCCCCTTCACGTCTGTCCTTTTCATGGGGTAGTCAAGGGATCCCTTCTTCTTGCCCTTGACCCCCTGCTGTCCTTCCCATGCTCCAGTCACAGATCACAGCTGATTCCTCATCTATTTACACAATGCCTGGGTTCTCTTTGGCATTAATGTGCCTAAAATTTCCAGACAGTTTCTAAACTGAGAGACCAGAGTGACTACTGAGAACTCCCTGTCAGCCATACTCATACCTCTTTCCCAGAGGTCTTTACACGGCCACAGCCACCGAGTGGCATAGCCACGTTAACACTTGCAAAAGCAGAGCTCCCGCAGGAACTCAATACGAGGGATGTGGCGGTGTCCTCTCACCATAGCCTTCAGGCAGTTCTGGTGACTGGTGGCCATGTGGACGGTTCTGGGGCGTCTGTAGTGAACCTCGGACTTCTGGATTTCTAAGTCGTTGTGCCTGAATCCTTTGGTCTTGACTTGGGGACTCTGCAAACCTGCAGTTCCCTCCACCTGCGGCAGCACCAGTACCATCCGAGTAAGGGGCCGGTTCCTCCATGAAGCAGCTGAGCGGCCTCCCAGGTCCCGAGTCTTCATACACGGTTCTGGAAGGAAGAAAGGCACAACAGGTGTGGGAACCCTGTGGCAGTGTCATGAGACTTGGGCCTTCAAATTCCACCCAATACTGTCACACGTGTGGGTTCTCCTTTCTTTTAATAATTGAGAGAGAGCACCCCGAGTGCTGAGTTTTACACACTCCATCATGTCCCTAATTAAACAGGGCAGACTCTTTCAAAAGAACAGGAGGCCAAAAGGAGCCACACTGAAAGTGCCACCAGGGCCACCCATACAGTGCAGCTCACGGTAGAGCTGAATGATGGGGGGAAAAAAACTACTTTGCACTATAAGGAGCCTGTGGAATGAGATTACATTTTTCTGGGTTTAAAATCAAATCTAAATTCTCCATTTTGCATGTTATTTTATTCTCTAATGGAATTCCTGGTTACATAAAATACTGCAATGATTCTAAGTGCTTTTTAAATATAAATTTTTACCCCCTGGGCAATTTTGAAGAAAATTTACCTTAAGAGGCTATTTTCCCTTATAAGTACTTGAGAAAAAAAACACCTCTTATATTGAAAAATTTCAAATATATACACAAATTGAGAGACTAGAACTATGAGTCCCCTTTCCCCTCTTCCCCCCAACTCCATGTCCATCAACCAGTGACAACAGCCATCTCTGGGATGCTCTCTGATTCCTCCCCTCTAATGTTTTATCATTTCATCCTTAAATATTTCGGCATACACCTCTCAAAGATAAGGACTTTTTTCATTATCATGATTACACGTTAATTTTGAAAAAAAAATCAAACACCCGCATTCAAATTTCTTCAATTGTCTCAAATCAGGATCCAAAGTCCTCATGCTGCATTTAGTACCAATGTCTCTATGTCTCTTTTTATCATTAATTTATAGGTTCTCCTTCCCTCCTTTTTTCTTGCAGGATATCTGAAGACCTTGGGCTGTCTGCCCTATAGAATGTCCACTCTAGATTTGCTTATTGCATTTCCTCAGGGCAGAGTGACATATTCCCTGTCCCCTGTATTTCCAAGAGGTATGTTAATGTGAGATCATCTCTCCTTTGTGATATTGTCAGAAACTACTGATGATTGTTGCCTATGTCTGTTAATTGACAGGGGATGGGAAAATTGTGACAGTGACTAATGAGTTTTTAAATATTTTGGGTGTTTTTTTTTTTTTTKTGTGTGTGTGTGTGTGTGTGTTTTAGGTTCCCCCTTAGTGTCAAGTGTGAACTCACAAATCTTTAATAGATTTGATGTTTTGATGTTTAATTGTAGTTATAATTCTTATTGATGCTCAAACTGTCCCTTCTTTGGCCAGACGGAGGCTCCCAAGTTGGATCCTGAGTTTTCAGGGCACAACTCCAGCAACAAGTCAGTTGGATCATAGTTTTATTCCAAAAGCTGTGTCTAGCACAGTGACGTAAAAGAGGAAGGTTCCCATCCTGCAGGCTGAGAGCCTATGGGAGCAGAGAGCTTGGCTGGTGACACCACGGTCATACGTACCCTTCATTTTCTAACAGTCCTCTGCAGTCCACCACCGACCCTCCAGTGCCTATTCTGTCTCGTGTCTGTAAACTGACTAAAACAGAGAAGAATGGCCTTCATTAAAACCAGTGGTGTTTTATACAACGGTAGTACAAAGAGCCATTGCAACTTTATAATTTAGGTACCATAGCAAAAAAAAAAAAAAAAAAAGGCATGTGTATACACACACACACACACACACACACACACACACACACAGCCCTGTGCTTTCAATATGCCGGATTTTACTCTAGTAGCTGCATACACCACATGCCATCTGGACAGTCCCTGAAAATGTACAGCAGAAAAGGTGATGGGGTTCTTAAGTTCCCCATAAAGTAACAACGCAAAATTCAGTTCCTTTAACGCACTTTATCCATTAAGGGAATTATGACTCATGTTTAATAAGGACAACGCACTTTCATTATTTGCAAAATTTAGACCTCAGTATTTACACTCTTGCTTTACTATGAACAACACAACATTTATGAAGTCGTTTTCAGTTGTTTCCACCTGGCACATCCCTCCCCCAAATAAAGGAAAAAATTGCAAATGGAAAAGCAGTTAAGTGAGAACTTTTTCATTATGATCATGTTCGGAACGTGTATGCACTGTTCATTAGACTTGGCTCAAGTCTACCTAAGATAAAACCCAAAAGACAGGAGTCATAAAGTCACTCTGCTGCTGTGAGACCATTTTCTTTGATTCCTTGCAAATGCAAACAGTCAACACCAGCCTTACCTAAAATACTGATAAAAATAGGGTATGTAATAGAATAAGCTTCTTAAGAGATAAATCACTTCCTACAGAATGCCAAGAGTCAACACTGTAGCATTAGCACATTTAAATCTTTCTCTCCACATAATCTGATCCTTGACTTTATAATTTACATTATATATGAAATTCATCACAAATCCTCTTTGTATTTACATATAGGGGGGGGCTTCTCAAAGAAACTATGGCCCCAGTTCTTGCATATGTGGCCACCATTCTCAATCCTTGAATTATACAATGACATATTAATTATCCACTATTGTAATGATCAGAATTACATTTAAAATTATAACCCCAAATCTTTCTGTACATGTGTAAACAATAGGATGAAGGCAGTTTGATAAAATAAACACCACCACACACGATACAACCTTTCAGAGATGGCCCATATATGGTCTGTCCTTAGAATTACGTCAATGCCTACGTGTGCTCCTCTGAGGACAAGCTGAGTGTTATGTTCTGTAAGAGCATCCCTTTATACAGACGAGAAAGTTCTTACCCACTATTTGGCCACGAACTGCATCAGTATCTGAGGGATTTAGTTTGCATAGTTCCAAACGCTGGTCTGCAAACAAACAATTCAAAACTTAACCCAAGGAACGTTAACTAGGGGGAGGCAGGAATTCTGTATTCAGCATTCAAAAAAAAAAAAAAAGATGCCTCCTAAGCTTTCTTCAGTTGCAATAAGAGGCAGAAGAGCATTTGGTTCTTACAGCCAGTATCTTTTAATCTGCTGATGGCATTGGAGAGCAGCCGCACGCAACCCAGGAAGCCAGCTCCCTGTTTCTTATGAATTTTCTTGTGGTTCCATACGCTGATGGTTATAGAATCTGTTTTCCCAACGTATCTGAAAAGAAAATGCAAACTCGTTTTAATTGTATTTCTGAATTATGATAATATCATTGAAATTTTATGTGATTGATTTAAGGATTCTTATAAAATAAAGCTGACTCTATAGCCTGCATGTGACAGATATTCGATAAATATACCCACTACTAACTATAAGAAGCTGGGGGGAAAGATCATGCCCAGTTATTCGAGAAGCAGGTATAGATCACCCTATGTTCCTGTAATGCTATAAAAGAGGTTCACTGTATTCTAAAACTTCCATAGGACAGTGACATGTTCAAAGGTACTCACCAATTGGGCATAACAAATAAAACTAGTTCGTAACAAGGCACTCCTTATAAACTACCAAAAGTATACAAAAAGCACACTAAGACATGAAAGTCCCCCTCATTCTCAGTGTGAGTCAACTATAGAGACCAACTTTCAGGACAAGAGGTGACAATCACTTTCCAAGTCATTTCTGGATCCTTCAAGTAACTGAAACTAAACTTTAGGATATAACTACTACTAAAAATCTGACCCAAATATACACAGTACAATTTGCTAATTAAAAAAAAAAATAATCAGTATTACTTTGATGAAAGTTTCTTTTGGGTACTAGGGATTGAACCCAGGGGCGCTTAACCACTGAGCCATACCCCCAAGCCCTTTTTTATATTTTATTTAGAGACAGATTTTCACTGAGTTGCTTAGGGCTTCAATAATTGCTGAGGCTGCCTTTGAACTCATGATCCTCCTGCCTCATCCTCCCAAGTCTCTAAGATTATAGGCGTGTACCACGGTGGTCGGCCACTTTAATGAAAATGCAAACACAGGTACATATAAAATAGTGATCTTCAAAGTGCAATTCCATTCTTGAATGAATATACAAAATTGTCGCTTATATATGTTTGATCATGGGCTTATATATGTTGGATTATGCAAAACTAAATTTTATTCTGCAGAAAATTTCTCTGTATTAAGAAAGCAAAATGTTTTTAAAATCAACAGAACTGTGTGATCCTAATAATGCATTTTTTTTAGGTTAAAAACTACAACTAGATTTAGGGTTTCACTGAAAAACATGCTCTTTCCTGCTAAAATGACCAGGAGATTGAAAAGTCTGAGGATCATCATTACAGTAAGAAACCATCAAAATCTCTGCAAACACCAAGTGAAAGACCTCCCAAGTACTAAAAGTGTAAAATTTGGTGAGATGTATTTGTTTCACCATTTACTTGTTATCATTCACAAGTTAGCAACTCCCCCGCCCCCCCACACCAACGTTCTTCCCTAAACCCTCCTCTTCCGTGGAGACACCCACTCCCTGCTTTCCCTAAGTGGCTCACAGGCCTCCAACTCACAGATCATAGTGCTGGTTCCACTTTGGGTCCAATGTGTTTTTCACAGTGTCGGTTGAGTGGCACTGCCCAGAGCCATCCACAACAATCTTAGCAAAGGGGTCAGGGAGTCCTAGAGGAGAGAGGACAGCCACACCGGGATGAGAAGAGTCACAGACACCTCTTTCAGGCTAGAGGGAGCTACAAGGTCAGTTAGCAGGGCAGAAGATTGACTTTATTCTCTGATCTAAGATTAGTTTCAACTGGCAAAGTAAATGATTGCTATTTAGCTTTCTGAGAGAGACACCCTGTGTGCTTTCATTCTCTGATGTTTAGAGGACAGAAAACTATAAAAATGGGTTTAAATTCAAATAAATTTCCATCTCTGCTGACCACTAAGGGGAGCTAATTAAATGGAGGGAAAGGTATCTGTAGTTCATTGTATTTATGCTTTCTAAAAATAGTAGTACCCAGAAATCTCAGTCTGTCTTACTTATGGAATGTCTTACCTACCTTAATTTGGTAAGTCCCTAAATATCAGCGTATGAATCAGACAGGTTTATGGGATCAGACAGGTGGTGAAGTGTGAGGGTTCTGGAGATAGACCTGGAAGTGAGCCACGGCTTTGGAGCTTCCCAGATACTTGGATAAAGCCTTTGAGTCTAAGATTCATCTCTAAAGTGTGAATAATACCACTTAAGAGCTGAGCCGTGATCTTGGGAGGATCAGAAAGTGTGAAGAATTTAACACTGCAGGCATCTATTTGATAGTAGGTGAATTTCTTACATTAAGGAGTGATTTCTTCCTTTAGGACTCTCTATTTTTTACAATGCTTTGAATTATGGGACTTTAAAATGTGATTTAATTTAGAAAACTGGATTAATAATTCTACTCAAGCCAACTATTTTACAGGAAAATGTCTCATTTATTCTTGGGAAGAAAACACTTTGTTCAACAGAAAGCAAAACCCTCTAAATAAGGAGGCAGAGAGCCCAGGTATGACATGCAGTTTTTCTGGTATGATTTAAAAATTCTGTGTTTTTTGAGCAAGGGAGCCCCTGCGTGGTAGTTGACTGGGAAACCAAGTTTCTCAAACCATGTATTTTTATTCCAAGGCTTTTAGGAGAATACACCCAGTGTTTTTTATAAAGGTTAAAATTTCAGAAATACATGATATTATAAGAGCAAAAATGGGTGTTTACTTACTGAAGAAGTCTTTCTTTGCAAGGTTCTTGGCACATAATACTAAAAACAAACAAAAAAATACTAGGATTAACATTTATGGACAAGATTTCCACCATCGCTAGTCTGTATTTGCAATAGAAAAACAAAGATTTTAAAGATCATCTTTGCCAATAATTTGTCTTTCAAATTTAGTACCACATTAAACAAAAACCTAGCAACGACCTAAAACGTAAAGTACTTTCTCCTCAAATTAGAGACCAACTATAACTAATCTGAAATGCTTTAGTTTAAATTTAAAATTATACTTAAACAGAGCTGGATTTATCAATATGTTCTTAAACTACATAGGAGCCCATAAAAACCAATTCAAATAAGGAAATAAAGACCTGAAACATTTACCTTTATAGCTAGCTATTGCTAACAACAGCAAAAGGAAACAGGCATTTTTGGTGTTCTGATGAATTTTTTTTTTTTTTTAAGTGAGGCACTCTGAACCCAAGGTCTTATACAAGCTTCTTTGACTGGCTTCTTTCCCTCAGCAGGGTGTCTTGGAGGTTTGCCCCCCTAGCATGAGTCAGTGGCCATCCCTCTGTATAACTGAGTAATCTGTATGGATATACCACAACTTCTTTTTTGCTCATTAGCAGATGGACATTGGGTTGTTTCAACTTCTTGGCTAATTATACATAATCCTGTACCTGCTATTTTATAGTCATGTTTTCTCTTCATTATACATCTGTGAGTGAAGTTCCTGGAGGGACAATAAGGTAACCGCATGTCTAACATTTTGAGGAGATACCAGGCTGTTCCCCAGAGTCTGCACCACGCTACATTCCTGCCAGCTGTGTCTGAGGGCCCCACTCACTCTTCATCCTCCTTAATTAAATTTGTTAGTGTCTCGGTGATTTTCCATCTCTGTGGTTTTGATTTGCATTTCTCTGATGACTGAAGCCTTTGAGCATCTTTTCATGTGCTTATTAGCTATTGGTATGTCTTCTTAGGAGAAATTACTTGTCCATTCTCTTCTCCACTTCTAAAAATCCTTATCAACTATAAGATTATTTTCTCCCATCCTGTAGGTTATCTCTTTCTTTATGGTATCTTTTGAAGCACCCAAGTTTTTAATTTTTAACTAAATCAAATTGATCTATTTTCTTCAGTTGTATGTGCTTTTGATGTCATATCTAAGGCAACCGCCTAACCCAAGGTCTTGAAGATTCACTCCTCCTATATTTTCTTGTAACAGTTTAATGGTCTAGGTGCTGTGGAAACCCAGCCTGGCAGCCCTCGAAACATTAAACATGCCGTTACCTTACCTTCCCCGGGCAACTTCACTCATGTTTATAATGAAGAGAAATCAATCATGTCTAAATAATAACTTGTGTGGGATTATTTATAATAGCTAAGAAGCAGAAATAACCCAGATGCTCATTAGCTGACAGATAGGACTCATCTGTTAGCTCTTAACTATTCCTTTAGGTCTAGGATCCATTTTGAGGTTTTTGTTTTGTTTTTTTAAGGGTGTGAACTGGTCCAGCTTCATTCTCTAGCCAGGGAATCTCCAGTTGTACCAACACCATTTGTTGAAAAGACTGTTCTTTCCCACTGACTGGTCTTGGCATCCTTGTTGTGGTCTCTGAGTTCTAATTAACAGATCCATAAGTCTCTTCTCATGCTGGGACCACACTCTCTTAATTACTATAACTTTCTAGTAGCATGGATCTTCTATCATTGTTCTTCTTTTTCAAGACTGATTTTTCTATTCTGAATCTGTTGAGTTTCCACATGAATTTTAGAATCAGCTAATGCCATCTGGAACTCAATAAGGACTGGACTAAATCTGCAGGTGAATTTTGGAAGCACTTATCTTAATAACATGTAATCTTATTATCTTAATAATATGAAATCTCTGTATCCACATGTAATTTCTTCCATTTATTTAAGATCTTTTTTTTTCAATACTTTCAGCTTTGTTTTGTAGTTTTCAGAGTATCCATTTTGCACCTCTGTTAAATTTATTCCTATTTTATTTATTTTTTATGCTGTGGCATGATGAATTGTTTTCTTAATTTCATTTTCTGACTGATCATTGACTATGTGCAGAAAAACAATTGATTTTTGTATATTTAACTTGTACCTCACAACTTTGCTCAACTCATTAATTAGCTCTAACACTTCTTTGTGGATTCCTTTGCATTTTCTACATGTGAAATCATGTCATCTGAAAATATATTTCTTTCTTTCCAATCTGAATGCCTTTCTTCTCTTGCCTAATTGCACAATGCCTTCAGTACAATACTGATTACAACTGGTAGAAATCCTTGTCTGTTCTTGATCTTAAACTTCAAATTTTCAATCAGTGGAGCATGTGTGAGCTATTGGTTTTCAATAGATGCCCTTTATTAGGCTGAAAATTTTTTCTTCTATTCCTAGTGTTTTAGTATTAAATGTTCTAACCATATAATGGTATGACATTTTGTCAAGTGCTTTTTCTGCATCTACCAAGACTTTCATTCAGTGTTTGCCTTTAACTATTGATAGTGTTATTACATTAATTGATTTTCATATGTTGAACCAACCTTACAATTCTGAGAGAAATTCTACTTGACAGTAATTCATAATCCTATTAATACTCTGCTGTTTTCATTTTGCTAGTATTTTGTCAAGGAATTTTGCATTTCTATATTGGCCAGTTCTGGGCCCTCRTTTTTGTAAGAGCTGGTACCACACTGCTTCTGAATGCAACGACTCCGGTCCCACATTTCAAAAACATTATTCTGTGTTTGTRTTTACAAGGCTAGTGATGTTGTAATTTAATGCTCATTCCAGTGGAATTTGGTTACATCATAAAATGGAGAAGGTCTTAGTAATATTAGCACAAAGAAAATTTTGCCTCAATTTTGTGTAAAGGTCATTTAGAGTCATTCTGAATCTTGTTTAAAGGCATATGATCCCGCCTACTAAAATAATTTTGTGGTCTTAAGATATAATTATCTTTGTCTGCTCTAGGAGGTTATAATAATAGAAGATAATTCATTAGACAGTATAAAATTCCATTCTATCTAGATCTAGCACTCCTTTCTAAACAAATAAGTTTAGGTACCAGTTATGCATGAGATTCTGGGGACACAACAAAGAATAAAAGAGATATTTATTCTTAGAGAAAATGAAGCTTATTTTCCAGCGGAGATCATTGCATGGTTGCTTCAGCCCAATCTCTGAAGTGCCCCTTGACCTTGGCCACATCCCGTCTCTTGCAGCCCATGATTTCCTAACTACCACCATAGCTCTCCTAACACTGGGGATACAAGAACAAATTACACAATGTTCACTAAACATCTGAAATCATGGAAGGAAAGTATCTTGCTCACAAAAGATGGGGTCGTGAGAGTGCCACCTGTGTCGTCACACACTCCCAGAATGAGCCACAATGACAGAAATTTAGTACTTTATTCTATCTTGAGAAATGTCCTAATTTCAGTCAATACTTCACTATTTTTCTATCCACCTGCTAGAAACTTCTGCTGTATTTTTTTTACTCTTCCCTATTTATGTGTCCTATTTTTTTCCTCTGTCTCTTGAATTTGTCCTTTCTTATCTTGATATCCACTCTCCTATCTTTAGTTTCATCTACTCAAAACAGGGCCCTTCTGCCTGAAGCTTCACAAGTCTCCATGCTGCCGGATCATTCTTTGTTTTTTCCTCTCTTTTTCTCTGGAGACAGGGTCTCCCTGTTACCCAGGCTGGTCTAAATTCATGGACTTAAGGGATCCTCCCACCTCAGCCTTCTGAGGAGCTGGCACTCCAGGCCAGTACCATCACACCCAGTGGAGCAATTTTCATGTTCTTAGGCTTAAAAAACGATCTAATAGCTGTGATCTCTGAAACTCTGAAATCTAAATTTCTGCCTGGGTTTTAAGGTTTCCCATTCCCAACTATCCCTTTTATTTCCTGTTCTTCCTCATGGTCTACTTGGATTCACTCCCCCTCCTGTCTAGCCCAGAGGTTTAGCCTTGTTCCTTAACCCACCTGACAACACCTAGTGAAGCCTCCTTCAGGCCCATGTTTTCCATATGACACTCTGTGATCATGTTTCTACTAGGGCCAGACAAAAAAATAAGGACACTGTAGTGGAATTTTCACAAGACTGAACTAATGACTTGTAAATGACCTTTTTCCTGAGGTTCTATCTTTCCTTTTTTTTTTTTTAATGTTAAAATGTCCTCTTTAAAGAAATGAGGTAACAAAACCTGTTGATAATTTTAACAATAACTTCGCCAAATAAAATAGTTCGAAATATTATATTGATACCCACATCTAAATGTTGGGATGATCTGAAAATTACTACCCTAACCGTGGATGATCTAGTTCTTCTTTTTAGTGCAATTTACTCTAAGAACCACAGAGTTTAGCACTCAACAACTTTCCATGCAGGTTGCTTGTCACCCCAACTAAAGTCCTCTGCGGGAGGAGTCAAAACCTCAAAACATATAAATGGCACACATAAATGTGGCACTGACCATGGGGATTTGATGATGAACTAAAAACAGAAAATAAGCCAAAGAATAACAATGATAGCAACAAAAAACTATGCTATTATTTCCATAGCTTTAAACATCTAAATAAAATGTTGATTTATTAGAAAATATAACTTACTCACCCAGGAGACATGTGAACATGTATGTTTGCTATCTACTTGATCTAGCTTTTAGGTCTAAAACTCGCTTTTAAAATTTTCTCTGGGGAAAAAATCCTTTTAGATACAAAAAGGGGTAAGAAAATAATCCCTGCTAAAGAAGGGGATTTTCTGCCTGTGAGTTTTACTACCACGCCACATTCAAGACCACTGGCCCATAGCATTGATCTGTCCATTCTGGTACAAGTGAGGAAATCTTCAGATTTGTATTAGAAGGAAAAAAACAAAAAACAAAAACACTGCAGTTATATCAATAGACTCAAAATGCCAAAGGACTCAAGCCCATGCACCTGTACCAGAACTAAACTGCATTCTATTATCTGCTCACTAAAACACTTTTTTCCGGTCCTTCTCAATCCACAAC